CAGGCCTCACAGGATCAGCCGTAGCATTTGGCTCCCTGATTTGGGCCTTACAGAAATTTCAGAATGCACCCCCTTTTTCACTTTAGAACCAGGCCCAATTTATTTTCTTTTCTTCACTTTACTTTATTTATTTAATTGTCTTATGTTTAAAAAATAATTTTATTTAATTAAAATCAACAAAATCATAAATAAAAAATTAGACTTAGGATTTTCTAATTAATTTTAATTTTGTAAATTAACTTAGTTAATTGTTTTGGTTTTATTTCATTAATTTAAAAATTATTAGAATTAGGTTCATTTAATTCAATTATTTTCTTAATAAAAAATGCAAAAAAAATATTAGGTTTTGTTTAGATTTAATTCTTGGTTAATAGAAAACACCTTCCTTTCGTCTAATTGAGTCGTAAACCTAGAATCTCTGTCTGTGAATTAGGGTTTTCTGTTAGATTCCCTTCCCTAAGATAAAAACTAATAGTGGTGACTCTTGATTTAAAAACCAGTCGTAACACATTGGTGTAGTGTTAACACTTGACGTAACTTCTGGAGATAGTTTAGAATCTAAAGATTCTGAAGTTGAGTCATAGTCAGAAGGAGACTCTTAAGACGAGTCAGAGTGAGAAGATGATTCTGATTCTGAAGGTGAATCTGATTTTGAACATGATTCTGATGATGATCCAGAATTTGGTGGTCAAGACTTTGGTGATCATGCTTCTAAAGGTGGAACTTCTGAAGGTGGAACTTCTGAAGGTGGAGCTTCTGAAGAAAGTCCAAAAGGTGATATGGTTCCAGAATCATAAGGAGATTCTGAACAAGTCCATAGGCCACAAAGAATCAGACAAATAACAAGGAGATTCAGAGTTTGACAAGTTGCAAGATACTGAAGTAGACTATGAGGGAGAAGTCATTCAGTGTGTCATGTTAGTAGACTCTGGACCAGTTAGTATTGAAGAAGTTATCAAGAAGAAAGTGTGGATGAAGGTCGTGAAAGAAGAACTTAAGGCTATAGAAAGAAACAAGACTTGGTAGTTGACTAAACTTCCAAAGGAGAAGAAAGCCATCAGCGTCAGATGGGTTTTCAAGATAAAATTGAAGCCAAATGGATCAATTGGAAAACTCAAAGCAATGTTAGTAGATAAATGATTTTTATAGAAATATAGACTAGATTACTTTTGATGTATTTATGTCTGTAGCTAGACATGAAACAATCAAACTGATGATTGCCATAGTTGCAAATATAATTTGTCCTTTGATACATCTGGATGTGAAATATGCATTTATGAACGGTCCATTACAAGAAGAGATATACGTGTCACAACCTCTTAGATTTGTGAAAAAGAATCAGGAAGGGATGGTGTGCAAGTTACATAGTGTTGTATGGACTGAAACAAGCCCCTTAAGCTTGGAATCTGAAAATTGATTCATTTTTCAAGTTGTAAGTGTTTAAAAAGTGTGAGATGGAGTATGGTGTTTATGTCCAGCATATTTTTAAAGGCAATATGATTCTGGTGTGTCTCTATGTTGATGATATATTTATAATAAAGAGCTATCCATAAGAGATAGTCAAGTTCAAGAAGGTGATGATGAATGAGTTTGAGATGACTGGTCTGGAAAATATGGTATATTTTCTAGGGATGGAGATTTTGTACTCTGAGAAGAGTATAATTTTGCATCATCTTAAGTATGAACTTGAACTTTTGAAGAGGTTTGAGCTAATGAATTACAAGACTACAATCACACCTGCTAAGATGAATCACAAGCTGGATTATGATATTGAGGGTGATGATGCATATGCTACAGCTTTCAAACAGTTGGTTGGCTCATTGAGGTATTTATGTAACAGCAGACCTGACATTTGTTATGCGATTGGAATGGTGAGTAGGTTTATGAACAAATCGAATTGGTCATATTACCAAGCTGTTATCAGGATTCTGAGGTACATTAAAGAGACTCTGAGGTATGGAGTAGAGTTCTCAAAATGGGCCGATCCATCAGGCCCATAAAAAGTTAGGGTTTGGGCCTTATTTTTCGAGCCCATTTACTTCTGGGCCTTTTTTAGCCCAGCCCGAAAAAGCCCTGAAAAATATGGGCCAACCCATATGGGTCATGGGTAGCCTGCCGGCCCAAAAAATATTGATTTTTTTATATGATTAGAAATTTTCCTTTCCTAATTCATGAAAAAAAATTAAACAAAAGAAAAAAAATCAAAACTACTTATATATGAAATTCTAGATATAGTGTTAGTGAATAAAGTTATAAACAATTTGCATAAATAATGTATATCTTATTTTTGAGCTTGTAGTATAAATGGCCAATTGGTATAAATAGACAATTTCGATGTCCAAAGTGATGAAATTCTAGATATGCTATAAACAATTTGTGTATTATGTATTTTAATTTTTTTTGGTATCATAAAGGTATAAATATCAAATAAAAGTTATTGGTTTGACTTAATTTCAAGCTAAAATGTTTTATCCTAATATAATTATGTAGATAGTATAGAAAAGACACCATGATGTATTCTAATTAAAAATAAGGTTTAAATGAGGTTTAAAAAATTCTAATATAATTTTTATGGGAAGATAGAGTTAGTACAGAAAAGATATATAACAACTTGTTATAAAATTATATTTCATCAATCTAATTATAATTGTTATAAAATTATAATTGTTATAAAATTTTATAACAGTTTGTTGTTATAATTATTATAAAATTATAATTGTCATGAATATTTATAACTTAAAACTTGTTGGAATAAGTTATTTAATTTTTTGTGCTACATTGGATAATTTGTGATGTATTTTGGATAGTTTAAATTAAGTTAATGTGTTATTTTAGATTTTAATTGTTAAGTTAGATGGATTATTTAGAAATCTTAATTTTGAATATGAAATTTAATATATATAAATATACAGGTATTATTGCATACAGTTGTATGATTACTTATAAAAATAAGGAGAATTTTTTTATTTTTTAGAAATGGACCCCTTTAGGGCCGGGACCTGTTTACGATCGGGTAGCCCGTAGCCCAGATAGGGTTGGGTCTGAGTAGTAAAAATAGAGTCCATTTAAATATGAGCTTTTTGGGTCTGGCTCTGAAAAACCTGAGGTATGCATGGGCCGGCCGTTTAGGGTTGAGTAGTCCATTTTGACAGCTCTAGTATGGAGTGTTATTTTCTTCTGGTGTTAAATCAGATACAGAGATGATATGCTATTCAGACTCTGATTGGTGTGAAGACACAGTTGACAGAAGAAGTACTTTTAGATATTTTTTTCAAATATATGAGAAATCTCATCTCTCAGTGCTCTAAAAAAGTAACATGTTATTGCATTGTCATTTGTAAATTCCCTTCAACAAAATTAACAAAATTAATCATGAAATGGTTAAAGCTAAAATTTCAAAACTTGTTTTTAATAGGACTTAAACTCAAGACTCGTAGAAAGAAAGTGGAGCACTAAACCACTAAGCTATGAAGCTTCTTATTTATTAGCTTGCAACAAATATTTGTAATACAAAATATATTTGCAGTATTGCAAAATAAATTATTTCAATTACAATTTGATTTCAATTTCATATATCTCTCACACTTAAAAGCTATATTATTAACTTTTAATTTATATATATGTGAATTCATACAATAATATGATACATAATATGATAATATGTATTAATGTGATAATATTACTAGAGTTTTGTAATATAATTATATATAGAGTTTCTTTTTCGACAAATTATTAGAGTCGTCTTTTTCTCTCTCTTCTTTCCTCTCATTTTTTTCATCTTTAATTTTTGTGCACCAACAATATTAGTGGGAGTATAATATTCACCATTGGAGTTCCATTTTGTGTCTACATAGATTGCACTTTTGGAATTCACATAGGATCTTGTCAATTAACTTGAGCCCTCATATTACATGTTTGATTGTTTGTTCCGAAAAAGCATATTCATGTATTCTTGTTAGTTTTACTCATGTATTTGAAAGAGTTACTACTTAATTTTAAGTTAGAATAAAAGTTCTATTTTATAGGACACACTTAGTCTTTTACTTGTATTCTGCTTTCCTTAATTTTAGGATCCACTAAGTATTAACGGCTTTTATTTTAGCATAGTTGATTGCTTTCGGTTATTGTTTTTCATCGTGTATTTAATGACTATTTAAGTCAATACCGCAGTTAATAAAAACAGGGTCATTCAGTCCAATTGTTTAGTTCTTTCTTTTAGTTTCAATATCTATAAAAGTTCTCAACAGTACTTTGCCTCGAATATTTCCCCAAACATTTTATATTCGCTTTACACCTTACGCTATCCTATCCTTTCAGTTTCACTCCCTATTTACCGATGAATTTTTCGCTTTTTTCGCCGTCTCCAGCAAGTAGTCGTTACCCCTCGGCTATATGGTTGAACGAACTTGTGTCGAGTGACGAGGAGAATGATCGACCAGCCATGATTAAGGAGGAGTGTAATGAAAATGTGGACGGGGACGAGAAGATTGATTCTAAAGTTTAAGATTTTATTGCGCAATTTTATCATCAAATAAGGTTGCAACGTTTTAATAATGTTGAGTGTGATTATAAAGAGCGAAGTGAAAGGTCATTAGGATGGTGATGTTCTTGTTGTGCACATGTGTTTGTATTGAATCATAACATCAAATAAATAAATAACAAGAACATTACGTTGATTTTAACTTATATAAATCCTCATAAATGTTCAATGTATGTGAAATAAGAGTACAACAAAACCATATATCAATATCAAATGCATTATCATCACATCCACGCGTGCAGATTATAATATTTGCAGACACCAACAAAAGTTTTTAGAAAAAGAATTAAACGTAATCATAACTGTCAGTATCAATTTATCATAATTGTTAGTATCAATTTCAGATATCGACAGTGACATATATTTTTATCAGAGGTGTCAGTATTACAAATATTTCTAGTTGCAAAAATTTTCATGCGTAGTAATATTCAGGCTAACTTAACATATATAACATTGGTAGTTATTTGTAACCGTGGCTAATTTGAGAGCATTTTTTCTTGATCCATCGAAGTCCATTCTGAAGTGTAGCTTTAACTTTACCTTTTACGCTGTGAACCTTGTATTTGGCTATCCTTTTCTTTCTCTTTGCTTCTGGATTGTTGAAACTCCATGACTTTTCATTCTGCTGAGATGAATTTGGTGACCAAATTTCTCTTGAGCCATAGCCTTTCCCGCTCATCACAACATCCACTCTCCTTTCGCCGCCGTTGTAAGACTGGTGATGGGATCCATGTGAATCCATCTCTGATTTCACCTATATCGAATGAATGAAAATGAGTGATGAATTGAGGCTTTTAACTTTGAAAATGGAGGGTATAATAGAAAGAATGTATATAATGAATGAAGCATGGAATCTTGTATTGTGGGAGGAATGTGCAATGTTTTGATATTTGAAAAGTGTCTTACGTGCTTGAAATCTGGATTGGTACTTTATGGTATTTAAAAAATGATAAGCATCTTTTTTAAGAACATTTTGCTGAGTTTTGGCGATTTGCAATGATACAAGTTTTCAGATTTTAACGTGAAAATTTTATGGAATCAGACTGCAAAATCTATAATATATTTGTGCAGCTAGTATTTGGAAGTTTGGAAAATCATGTGCGAGGGATGAATAGGCCAAAATTGACACGCTTTTATGTCTTAAATTCTAGTAGTGTTGGTAGAGTTTTTTTATTAGTAGAATAATGTTGGTGGAATTTGATACTTCAAAGATCGAACCAAATTCCAATGGTGTTGTGATTATAAGTAGGGTTTACAAAACACTAATAAGGCTCAAGACATCATAATCAATATAATTAGTTAGTTACTTGTGCATAAATAATATAATTACATTTGAACTCTAAGTAGTGCTTAAATCACAATTAAAAACCACATAAATTCAAAAACTCTAAATAATTTCTTTATTATTTTTTATTTTTTATATTGAAATATAATTTTCAGTCTCTGTTGATAATTATACAAAAACATCAAATACAAAATCGTGAATTCACTGATTTTAATGTTCTGGAATGAAATGAAACGGATGTTAAATCTATTAATCCGATTGCATGTGGTGTCTATTTAAGTGTATATGAGTATCAGTGTTGCTAACGTGTATATGAGCATAGAGTATCATTATCTCCTTTTCCTTTCCTAGTGCATTCGAGAAAGGACTTGTTTGTTCTACATATGCGTTCTCTAACCATATCACCTTATCATAATCTTTACTTTGATTAAAAAAAACAAGTACACGTGGCAAGAGATTAACATAGCCACATGTAAATAACAAACACTTGTCCAGGAAATTCCAGAAAGTCCCTCATAACTCTTCTTGTTACTACTACCAATCAATCCAAGAAACAAGACACGGAATCACAACAAAAACCATAAAACAACAACGTTATGATGCATCCAAAACTAGTAGCAAATGTAACAAGAAAATCATACCAAGCCTTCTCTTCAACATAGTTGTGGTTGGCTGAGTTTCTATGAAACTCTCACTTTGAAGTTTCTGAGTTCAGTTTTTTACATCACTCCTACTGAAGCCATCAACCAACTCTCTGGTGTGACCAAATTTCACATGTTCGGTACTGAGTATCAGCTAACACAAACTGATATCGTGCGGCTGTTCGGTTTCAGTTCCGATGAAGATGTCCACCTTCGTGTGCCGGATAATTTCAACGAGGAAGCATTCAACTTATTGCACAGCATGACAAACAATCGTGCAAGCTCTTATGACCACCTCAACGCCACCCATATCCATAATCCAGCCATCAGATATTTTCACCGCATCCTTTGCAACACCATCTTCGCCAGAGATAGCAACCACAAGCTCAACTCCAAGGAGCTTTTCTTCATGCACTGTGCATTTACCGACCAGAATCAATGCCGCTCCATTTCTATTGGCCCATATTCACTCCATCTGCACTAGAGGCACCAAACCCTTCTATTTCAGAGGGATTGTCACTTCTCTTGCTTTAGCTTTGACGATCGTCACAGGAGGCTGACGGGCGTAACACGGTGAAACGCGTGTTACGATCGTCATAGGTGTACTACGACCGTTACAGCTACAATATTTGCAATTCCAAATCGGACAGCACTTCCGCTTCATTTCTATTGGTCCATATTCACTCCATCTGCACTAGAGGCAGCAAACCCTTCTATTTCAGAGGGATTGTCACTTCTCTTGCTTTAGCTTTGACGATCGTCACAGGAGGCTGACGGGCGTAACACGGTGAAACGCGTGTTACGATCGTCATAGGTGTACTACGACCGTTACAGCTACAATATTTGCAATTCCAAATTGGACAGCATTTCTTTCATAAATGAAGCAGATTAATTCCAACACACCTTATATTCCAACACAGTAATTTAGCAATATATATTAAACACAATATCAGTCAATTTGAGTACACATCCCAATTATCATACAACCAATCAATCAGAACAAAATTTGCAAAATGCAAGTATCAGTATAATAGGTTACTGATAATAAATATGCAGTGAATTGAATTTTGCTGTAGCATGCACTAAATTTAATGAAACTTGTAAATAAAAACAAACTGAAATTTGCATTGAAATGAATATTTGTTCTTTAACAGAAATTTAAAAGTTGTAGAAAGTAAACTTGTGCAGAATTAAAATGAAATCTTAAATTTGCAGAAAGGGAAACTACCTAGAAACAAAAAAACAGAAAGAAAAGTAAAAACAAATGTTGATCACTGCTACTTCATCCAAGTCTCGTTTTTAAATCTTCTAAAGCTGAATTCATGTGATAAAATTGCTCTACAGTTATGTCAGTCAAGCCTATTATATCCAGACGCATGCTCTTCAATTCGTCCTCGATTCCATTAATGTCAGTTTGATAAACATCCAGTGTGGTTAAGATTTTGTTCAAATTCTCAGTGTATTCTCCTTTGGTTATTTCAGGGCCTTCAGTATCCTCTGCAATGTTGTTAATGTCATAGTAACCAGGAGGGGTCTCAGGATCACTCTCATCAGACATCTTATCATCAGTAACTTGGTAAGATTGTGATGTTTCAGGTGTTGAAGAATGGTCAAGAGGGTTTAGCTCATAAAGCCAGTTATCGTGATTGTGGACACTCACTTTAGCATGGTTTGGAAGGGTAAATAAAGTGACAACTTCATTCCTTATCAGGTATTCAAAAGGTGCAGGACCTAGATTTCCTATTATGCGTAGGACGGAACAGAAATCAATATTCATAGGGCGAATCGAACCGAAGTGTGTACACTTATGCAGTTGGTATCTAAGTCCGAGGGCATTGGCAATCATGGTGACTAGGCCTCCTACGATGATCGGTTCATTAGGGTCCTGAACAATGCGAGAAAAGGTTTGCATCATGAATGGCACAGGATTAACAGGTCGGTCTTGGGTCATACAGTGCAGTAAAAACATCTCACCCTTAGACACTGCAGTACGGTTCTGTTCCTTTCCGAATACAGTATGGGCTAGAATCTTATGAAAATAGCGGATAGCGGGGTTGTGTATTTCATTGTTGTCCATGCTATCCGGCTCAGGGTGATAGTTTCCGGTTAAGGTTCCCCAAAAGTAATCTAGCTCGAAATTCATTAATTCCACCTAGGTGGTAGTAAAAGCAAAACGTCCGCTAGGGAATCCTAGTAGGTCAGCTAATTCCTTATGGTTATAAACGAATTCAATACCGAATAGTCTGAAAGCTATAAATCCTTTTCTGGCTCCGAAACCGTGCTCAGGTATATGAACTAGGGAGCTCAAAAATTCAAAGGTAAGTTCGCAGTATGTGACAAACTTAGACTTAATGTGGGCTTTTTCCCATCCCAGTTGGTTAAACAGATAAAGGACATTATCCTTAATACCTAAGGTGTCCATGGTTGGTTCATCATAATACAGAGTCAAACTGATGTTCCTTTGTGACAATTCCTCAAATCTCCTCATTTGGTTCCTTCCTCTAAAAGTGGTTTCCGTAAAGTTCTGTGATTATGGTTCCATAGTAAATGTTAAATGGGGAAACAAATCAGGGAAGAAGGTAAGATAGAAAAAGACTTTTCAGAAATCCCGTAGCAAGTAAAGTTGTTTTAAAATCAACAGCAGTTTTATAAAGATTTTTAGAAAAATGGAAAAGAAAATAATGAAAATAAGGCTTTAAAAGAAATAAATGCAGAAATGGAAAAGAAAATCAAAAGTAATAAATAGAAATAAACGAAAACAATAACAAAAACAAATAGGTGGGTTGCCTCCCACTAAGCGCTGTTTTTAACGTCATAAGCCTGACATAGTGCTTAGCAATAGATCATTCAGGGGAAATAGTGGGTAATTCTAAAAGTTTTAGACTATTCGCATAGTCTTTATTCTCAATGTGATGATATTGTTTTAATCGTTGTCCGTTCACTGTGAACGGGTCACTATTCCTATCCTTAATTTCTATTGCTCCGCTAGGGAATCCTTTTGTAACTTCAAAAGGACCAGACCATCTGGATTTCAGTTTTCCAGGAAAGAGCCTAAGTCTAGATTTGAATAGTAGCACAACGTCTCCCACACTGAATTCTTTCCGGGGTAAGCGCTTATCGTGCCATCTTTTGGTTCTTTCCTTGTATATCTTAGCGTTCTCATAAGCGTCTAATCTCAATTCTTCCAGTTCATTTAAGTCGAGGATTCGCTTCTCTCCAGCAGCAGTGTAGTTTATATTGAGCGTTTTGATTGCCCAATATGCCTTGTGATCTAATTCTACCGAGAGATGATAGGACTTTCCGTACACAAGCTTGAAGGGTGTAGTTCCTATAGGAGTCTTGTAGGCTGTCCTATAAGCCCATAAAGCCTCGTTAAGCTTAGATGACCAGTCTTTCCTAGATATGGCGACAGTTTTCTCTAGGATTTGTTTAATTTCTATGTTCGAGACTTCGACCTGTCCACTGGTTTGTGGATGATACGGTGTTGCTACGCGGTGTTTGACTCCATACTTAGATAATAATTTTCCGAATATCTTCGAAATGAAATGAGAGCCATCGTCACTAATGACAAGTCTAGGCACACCAAATCTTGGAAATATTGTGTTTTTAAAGAGCTTAATTACTACTCGTGTGTCATTTGTAGGAGAGGCTATAGCCTCAATCCATTTTGAAACATAATCGACAGCTACGAGTATATACTTGTTTCCGAAAGAAGATGGGAAAGGTCCCATGAAATCGATTCCCCAAACATCAAAGACTTCTACTTCTAGTATTCCTCTTTGAGGCATTTCATCGCATCTTGAAATATTACCAGTG